ATGCTCCTTGGAAACCCTATGGGGCAGTTCTACTCTGTCCTGCATGGTCGCTATGAGTTGGAATTGACTTGACGGCAACGGGTACTAACGGGTATAGCGCTCCTCACTTTGCCATTGGCATTTGATGTTTTTTCAATCTTGAAGTCCTAAACAACTTTAACGGCAAAACAAATTACCTTAGCTCCTGCTTCCAATTAGATTGCTACTCCTCAGCCCCCTTTATGTGGAAATGCTGAAGCAGTCATTGGATGTGTGTAAACACTATTTTTTACATGTTACCTTAGTTGGAACCCAGGTTCTTTATCAAAGGAAGTGATTTTCTGCTTCACCTATCAGGGCATCGCTTGTCTGAATGCTGCAGAGGTAAGCTGGAATTGCAGAACTTTCAGCTTCATGTCTCCAGTGAGGGTCTTATGAAGGATTTTCCTAAGTCTAGCACCTAGGTAGCGCTTATCATTTTATCTGGGGTACTTTGTTGTCATAATAAGCCCGTCCTTTTCCCTTGTGTCTTTCTGATTAGCTAGTCACTCATTCAATGGCCTGTAGCTAGGGACTCCTAGCCTGGGGTCCAAGAACCCCCTCTGATATCAGAAAAATAAACTTTGCTTATTTGCTTTGTTTTTTAATGGGTGGAGGGTCCATAGCTTTCATCACATACTGGAAAGGATCTATGCCTTTCCTGACTAACTACTACTTCAGCTGCTTTTGGATAATAGTTTTAAGATTTTCACAAGATTTGCAGCCATTTGAGCTGGAAGAGCTTTCAGGGGGATTGACATTCATATTTTAGCCTATCTTGTGGTCGTCTCAGGCATTACTGTATACTTGTGCAATCCTTTTCTGTTTTTGGTGTTGGGGAATGGTGCAGACTTGTTGCTGTCAATAGTAGTAATGTGTTTGGATAGTACTTTTGCAGCTTATTGAGTAGTTTCCAGGTATTGTTTCTTTTTAAAGTTCAATCCTCACAGTAACACTGTAAGGTATATAGAACAGGAGTTTATTATGTCTATTTTCAGCCGATGCCACTGGCTTAGAGAAGAGTGAATCAGTATCAGCAGGTTTACCCATCACATGAAAGCACTGGACACTCCCACTAGGCTTGTCTCAGTCATCTAGTGCTGCTCTAACAGAAGTACCACAAGTGGTTGGTTTTAACAGAGAGAAATTTATTGTCTTCACAGTCCAGTAGGCTACAAGTCCAAATTCAGGGCCTCAGCTCCAGGAAAAGGCTTTGTCCATTGGCTCTGGAGGAAGGTCCGTGTCATCAGTCTTCCTTTGGTCTGGAAGCATCTCTGTGCAGGAACCTCAGGTCCAAAGGATGTGCTCTGCTCCCGGCACTGCTTTCTTGGTGGTATGAGGTTCCCATGTATCTCTGCTTGCTTCTCTCTTTTTTATCTCAAAAGAGATTGCATTAAAATTCTAATCTTGTCAATCAACCTCATCAGTATAACCTCATCACAGTGATAGAATTTACAACACGTAAGGAGATCACATATAATCTTATCATAGTGATAGAGTTTACAACACATAAGGAAATCACATCAGATAACACAGTCATACAATACTGGGAATCATGACCCAGCCAAGCTGACAGGTATTTTTGGGGGACACAATTCAATCCATGACGAGGCTTACGCTAAGGTTACTGCTAAATAAGCTTGGATAATGCCTAGCAAAGTCTCAAAAGTTAATCATGGCTAAAAGACATTGTTTGCTGGCACATAAAACAGTTATAATCTCTAAAGGAAATGGATCCTGTTAAAATTGTGCATTTCTTTTTTATTCTTTATTTTAGGGATTAAAAAATAATATACATATCCCCACTTCACAGTCGAATTAAAGCTTGTACCTCTTCTTTGCTCCTCCACAGAGATTATACAAAATCCTACCTGATCACATTTTTTAGCATGGTGGGTCAGGAGAGGGCAAATCATTGGCAGTTTGTAGCATCACCTCATTTTTGTTAGATTGTTCCTTGGGTTTCAAAGACTAGTGCCCTTGTAACATACATTACACAGCCTTAAAATTGTGCATAAAAGTTAGCTGTGGAAGAGTAGCAAATGTAAGATAAATTGAAAAGGTTAAGGGGAAAACTGTGCTAAGAGCTTCTCATAAATGAATTCTCATCATAAAAGCACAGCAGTTTCTGCAAGTGACAAATTAACTTGAGATTGTGCTTTGCATTTTTAAATAATACTGTGGTAAGGTAATTCCATTTGTGTTCAATCCAGAGGTCAGTGCCTCAACTTACTCCACATGTGCCTCTTGCTTAATAGTATAGAAAATAAAGCTATATATGTGGCTATTTAATTTACTTTTATATTGCAAATACAGTATGTCTGTGATTCAGTGAGTAATGAGATGCTGGGTGTTCGGGTAGGCTGGTATTTAAAAGGTGTCTGTGCTGAGGGCTTGGGGCCAGAGCATTTTCCAAAAGGAGTAGTTGTGCTTAGAAAAACTTCTTATAAAGATTCTTGTTCTGACTTGAATCACTCTTTCACTTCAGTGGGGTCACTGAAAAGGACATCAAGATGTCAGAAATTTATTTCAGTTCTCTGTCATCAGGTGGGTGGAAAAGGCATTAGCGAGTGGGTGGTGGTTCTTTCTGCCAACAAATCAGAGGTTTGATCATGACGGTTAACTCTGAGCAGGTGACCTCACCTTTCTATCATGAATATGCATATTAATGTCATTTAGATGTTTTCTGAGGGGAAATATAAATATCTGTATTAATTTTAGGGTTTGTGTGTCTGTGGTTTGTTGAGCAGTAACTAGAGTATGGAGAAGCCTGCCTTCTTACAGTCTGTCTAGCGAAACCTGATGGATTGTGTGAAAGCTCTGTATTCTCCTAGACGCTTATGTCAGCTTTATGAATTTAGACTGGGAAATTAATAATAATATCTTTGCTCTCTGCATCCTTCTGCTGAAATTTTCATTTTCCTTTCTTTGGCCTGTGGCCGTGTTGCATTTTTGCTCCAGGATTTTAATTTGTAGAGCACAGTCAGTGGGCACGAGGTTAGCTAATTGCCTCAAATGTAGGCTGGTGTGTGCTTGACCTTTCCAAGTCGGAGCACCATGCCAAAGATCACATTTTTACTTGAATGAGATTTTTATTGTTTCCATCTCAGGGGAATCTTAGTAGCTGGGGCTCAACAGGTGCATCTGCAGAGGAGATTTAGAAAGATGTGGGGTAGATGCCTGGTTCAGGAGCTCCAGGACCCCACACATACCAGTCAGTCCCCCATCCCCATGGTGGTGGCCTTTACATTTCCTGGAAGAAGCAGAATAGATTCAAACACTTGAGGCTAGGAGGGAGCCTGAAGCCAAAGCAGGCCCCTGGATTTCCCTGAAGTTTCTTTTAACTCTGGATTCCTCCTGGCAACATTCTTTGTGTAACTTCAGTGGTTTTTTTCCCCCAGCAAGAAAGAAAAACAAAACTAAACACTCAGATTCTGTTTCCTCAGGTGGCACGTAGTATTATAAAATCTGTTTGCATCTGAATAAGGTAAAACATAATTTCAGCAGCATGCCAATCAGTAGACCCAGAAACCATACAGAGACTTGATGGGTGTTTTGAGGTTGGACAGATAAGGACACTGGACACATGCAGGGTTAGGAAATACATGCATGATTGCAAGAATTTCTGTGTATTGTATAAAAATATTACTCTTAAGTTAGAGTCCAGTGATTTATGATCTTACTTTAAAATAGCTTTGCCTTAATTGTTAAAAAAGGCTCTTTCCCTGCCAGACTTTCAACGTCTTTCAAGCCAAGAATATTAAAAAAATTTTTTGAGCTAAAATTCACACAACATAATTGACCCAACACTTGATTCATTTATTTGAATTCAGTGGCTGATTGGCCACCCTGATATGAAGCTAGGTCCTTGTCTTCAAGGAGGTCACAACCTCCTGGGAGGATAAAAACATGCAAACAAATAGTAATAGAGACAGATACAAGGTGCTCTGTGACCACCCAGAATGTTTACCACACTTTCCTTTTTCAGCCCACCTCTGACAATGGTTGACTCTTTTCTTCTTGCTTGATTTTTTGTTATTGATAGCAGCTTGTCTCACTTCATTGTTTTAATTTTTTCTGTGTTTTGGGTTTTATATGAAAGTTAGAATTTTGGCAGCCACATCATACTTCTGAACATCTCTTGCTTCCAAGGTTCAAAGGTGGAAATGTAAGTGGTGATTCCCAATGTTAGTCTATTTGTTAGGATTATAAAACAGGCAACACACCTAGGACTTGATATAAAAAAAGGACATTTTGAATGTTGATGTGTAAACTGGGAACCTTTGAGCCTGTGGCAACACCGTTGCACAATAAACTTTAGATCTGCTTGCTTACTTAAGCTAGTCTTATATTTCATGTATTTCCGTTTTTATGTTTCACTCCCCTTCCCCTGTAAAATGCCTAAACCAAAAAAGGGTGTACTTCCTGTCTCCTTTGCTTTCACGTTTCCTGAACCTTTATGATCTCTACTTTTTTTTTTTTAACTAAAATATTTTGCATATTACCAAATGAAAACAGCAATGCCTTTTTCTTTCATACTGGTAAATGAAGGATTAACTTAATACAATTTATAAAGATCTCTAGAATTCTTTGAGAAAGGACTAAATAAAATGAAATAGTATCATGCAAGATGAACACATTACTTTCCTGTATTAAGCTGAGTTTTACTAAGGTGAATGTTTCTCAATGGTAATCTTTTTATTTTATTTTCTAAATTTTAACCTCTAACCTTCTTTTTGAAATAGTTAATTGCTCCTTAGATTCTCTCACTTCTCTAAGGCATTTCTAAACTGGCACAATTGTTACTTTTTTTCTTAATTTTATGAAGTATGGTATCTTTTTTTTTTAAATTGTACTCTAGGTGGAGGTTTACAGAACAAATAGCTTCTCATTAAATAGTCAGTACACATATTTATTACATTGGTTAACAACCCCACGACATGTCAGTACTTTCCCTTCTCGATGTTGGAGGACCCTTTTTTTTTTTGGGTAAAAATATACATAGCCAAAGTTACACCATTTCAGACGTTTCTACATGTACAATTCAGTGACATCGATTTCATTCTTTATGGTATCTTTTAAATGTTACTTTTGAAAATTCTCCTTTAATATCTCTACCTTGGCCCATGAATATAAAAATTGACTTCACTTTAATGATCTAATTTTTTTAATTAAAATCTTGCAGCATTTTGGTGAAGCGCTAGAATATAATTTTCATAGCAAAATTTTAAACCTGAACCTGCATTTTATCTCTCTCTGTATGAAGTATTTAAAGGGCAGACTTATCTGGTTATGCTTTACAGTTTTACAGAAAGATCTTTTTTCTCCTTTCACTATCTTTCAGCTGAGAAAGTCAAGGGAACAATCAATAGACTGGGTTAAGAGAGTGAAAATTTGTCCAGTGTACTGGAATTTGCTTCCTCCCTGGTGGCATTCAAAGTGATGTTGTGTAAAAATGTGAAGGACAAGTGTTTACTCTGGCCTTGACCAAGGTGAGAATTTGGATGGAAGAGTTGGGCTCTGTGTAGGAGGTGTTTTGGAACTTGACCAATCTGTTGGTTTTGTTATCTATCATTTAAACTGAAGATTACGTGAAGAAGATGCAATTTCAAAACTCATAATATAGCTCTAAAATCATTTTTCTTTTGTTTGATGTATTTTAAGTGGTTGAATACATTTTCCATAAATATAACTGCCTTCTGTTTACCTTTGAATAAAAGCCGGTGAGGAGAAATATTTAGAAGGTTATGAGCAACAGTAGAATGAACTGTTAGAAAAGCCCATTCTTGTCTTTACTCAAGTATGTGCTGGTGGAAAAATTACTGAAATTTGATAGTAAAATGTTGGAAAATGATTTTATTTACAGTAAAAAAAAATAAATAAATGAGCCTTTCTTTTTAAATTCATAGATTCAAAATATTTAGTTATGCCTCACTAGTTCAGTCTTAGTTCATTATGCTTTACATTGATGGAATTAAGTATGACACATTGCAATGTTGGATCAGCCCTACAGTTCTAAAATACAGAATTTGATTGAAATCTGGGGAAAAAGTTAAAGATAGTGTTTAATGTCAGAAATGGAGATTTGTGAATTTTGCTTTTAGCTTAAAGTTGGTTCAAGGAAGGAACATGTCTTAGTGATAGAAGAGGAAAAGAACACAAAGAATACCTAATAGTAACTTGCCTGTTGAAAACAAAAAAAGATTCTTAGATTTTGAAAGAGCAAATAGTTTTTTTCAAACCCAAGTCCTTGGTGTCTATACTGGCCTTAATATGGCTAGTCCGGGGGTGTAGTGCTTCTACATGTGTCCGCCAGCCAGTAGTAAACACACATGTTTAATGGCAATTCGGCCTTAAAGTGTCCAGTTTTATCTTCTGGTTATCCAAGGACACGTGTAGATGAAGGTCAGAGATTCGCAGTGCTTGCTGTGAGACTCATAGATATTGAGGGAAGAGAGCTGCCTTAACATAGTTCCCATAATTCACAAGGAATTCTTTGAAGGCCGTCTTTGGATTCTTTTGCTACCTTGTACAGGGACCATCAGTACAATTTTCCTCTGACTTTCAGTGGTGGCAGTAACTTGTGCTTCAGCATTCATAAGATTATATGAGCATTTTGCCAAGGCCTAAAATCACCTGTTGTTTGTTTTAGTGGTTAAGAGTTGGGAAATTGAAAGTTAGACTTAGGTTTCAGTCCCAGTTCTGTCACTGTGTGATCTTGGTTACTTATCTCCTTAGGTTTCAGTTTTATTGTCTATAAAATGTGTATTCATTCATTCAACAAATACTTATAAGTGCTTTCTATTTGCCAGGCCTGTTCTCAGCACTGGGAAGCTAACAATGAGCAAAGTAGATGAAACCCTTGCTGTTGCGGAGCTTACATTCTACTGGGGGCAGATGGAATAAAAATTAAATATATGTTGGATGATGAGGTGACAGTTGCTACAAATACAGACAAAACAGAATCGGGGTAGAGGGTAAGAAGATTGGAAGGCAGTTTCTGTTTTATGTCAAGGAGACAGGAAAGGCCTCTGTAATTAGATGATCTGTAAGCAGAGGCATAAATGAAGACAGGAATGCTGTATGAGAATATCTGGGGGCAGAGTATCTTAGGGAACAGCAGGTATGGCAGGGACTGAACAGTCCTTGAGGTGAGAGCAAGCTTGGTATGTATGAAGAGCAGTGGCTGGAGTAAGGTGAGTGAATGAGATAACACATTTAGTATGTACATTGTATACATTAAAAGAATAACACATCATAACAAGTGAGGATTATTTTAGGAATTCATGAAGGGCTCAAATGTCAGACATTTATTAGTGACATTTATCATCTTATTAGATAACAGTAGAAAAAAATTATATAATCATTTTTATAGAGAAGGCATTGAATTTTATCAAAATTCATTATCTATTATTGATTAAAAAAACACCTCAAAATAAAGTAGGAAGACATCCTTAGCAAAATAAGGTATGTACATTGCAACCCCAAAACCATCTCAGGCTTAAGAGGAAATTCAACAACTTTGCCATTTAAACCAGGAACAAAATAAGGATAAATATTTTCACTACTTATTAATGGTGTTGTGGAATCGCAAGTTAATGCAGTTTTACAAGAGAAAGAATAAAGTTATAAAGATATAAAAATCAGAAAGGAGGTAAAATGAATAGGAATGTATGTATAGAATACTGAAGGGAATTGAATGAAAAACTAATTATAAAGAATAAGATAATTTATAAATGTGCCTGGACATATATACAAAACCAACAGCCAACATTATTCTCAGTGGAGAGAGACTAAAAGCATTCCCCGTAAGAATGGGAACCAGACAAGGGATGCCCTTTCTCTCCACTCTTATTCAATATTGTACTGGAAGTCCTAGCTAGAGCAATAAGGTGAGAAAGGGAAATACAGGGCATCCGAATTGGAAAGGAAGAAGTAAAACTATTTGCAGATGATATGATTATACACATAGAAAATCCCAGAGACTGCACAAGAAAGCTACTGGAGCTAATGGAATAATTCAGGTAAGTGGCAGGGTACAAGATCAACATACAAAAATCAGTTGGATTCTTCTACGCCAACAAAGAGAACTCTGAAAAGGAAATCAGAAAAGCAATACCATTTACAATAGTCCTCAAAAATAAAATACTTAGGAATAAATCTGAATAGAGATGTAAAAGACTTATACAAAGAAAACTACAAAACACCACTGCAGGAAACCAAAAGAGACCTACATAAATGGGAAAACGTACCATGCTTGTGGATAGGAAGACTTAAATTGTGAAAATGTCAATACTACCCAAAGTGACCTACAAATATAATGCGGTCCTGATCCAAATTCCAACAGCACTCTTTAATGCGATAGAAAAACTAATCAACTTCATATGGAAGGGAAAGAGGCCCCAGATTAGCAAAGCATTATTGAAGAAGAACAAAGTAGGAGGCTTCACACTCCCCAGTTTCAGAATCTCCCATCAGCCATGGTAGTCAAAACAGCTTGGTACTGGTACAATGACAGACACATAGACCAATGGTACAGAATTGAGAACCCAGAAGTAAATCCATCAACCTAGGGACACCTGATCTTTGACAAAGCATCCAAGTTCATTAAATGGTGAAGAGACAGTCTCTTTAACAAATGGTACTGGCAAAACTGGATATCCATTAGCAGAAACATGAAATAAGATCCATACCTCACACCATACACAAAAACTAACTCAAAATGGATCAGAGACCTAAATGTAAAACCTAAAATGATAAAGATTATGGAATTAAAAATAGAGACAACACCAGGGGCCCTAATCATGGCATAAATAGAATACTAAACATAACTAAAAATGCACAAAGAACAGAAGATAAACTAGATAATTGGGATCTCCTAAAAAGTAAAATTTATGCTCATCAAAAGACTTTAACAAAAGAGTAAGAAGAGAACCTAAAGACTGGGAAAAAAATTTTGGCTATGATGTATCAGACAAGGGTCTAAGCTCTAAAATTTATAGAAAACTTCACCACCTCAACAACAAAAAACAAACAGCGCAATTAAAAAATGGACAAAGGATATGAACAGACACTTCACCAAAGAAGACATTCAGGTGGCTAAAAAACACATGAAGAGATGCTTGGCTATCATTAGCCGTTAGAGGGATGCAAATCAAAACTAAAATGAGATACCATCTCACCCTGGCAATAATGGCACTGATCAGTAGAGCAGAAAACAGCAAATGCTGGTGAGGTTGTGGGGAGATTGAAACTTCTATACACTGCTGGTGGGAATGTAAAATGGTACGATCACTGTGGAAAATGGTATGCCATTTCCTTAAAAAGCTAGAAAATAGAAACACCATATGATCCAGCCATCCCACTCCTAGGTATATATCCTAGACAAATAAGAGCTGTCCCATGAATAGACATATGCACACCCATGTTCATTGCAGCATTATTCACAATAGCAAAAAAGATGGAAACAACTTAAGTGCCCATCAGTGAATGAATGGATAAACAAACTATAGTACATACACACAATGGAATACTACGCAATGATACAGAATAAGGATGAATCCGCAAAACATCTCACAGCATAGATGAATGTGGAGGACATGATGCTGAGCCATTCCTGGAGATCACCTTTCAGCCAAATAATAGACAGGCCAATAAAATAAACAGTATCACCTATGAGGAAAGTACTCCCTAGAATAATCATCTATATGAGACCAAAAGGGCAACATCTGCCAAAAGTAAAGATGAGAAGGCGGGAAGGGGCAGGAAAACCAGATGAATGGAAGTGGGAGACTCAGGGTGGTAATAGGGAGAGTGTTGACACATTGAGGAGATCGCAACCAATGTCACGGAACAATTTGTATATAAACTATTGAATGGGAAACTAATCTGCTCTGTAAACCTTCATGTAAAGCAGACACACACACACACAAACACACACAGAGGCATACACACAAATAAAATAATAAATGTGCCTGGATACCAAGATAATGTGCCAACATTCATAGCTTTCATAGTTAGAATATATAGTAGAGGAAAAGATCATTGGCATAAAAAAGATAAAATACCTATGAGTAATCTCAGCAAGAAATACACATTATGTAAATGAAGGCATTTAAAAATGCTCCTGAGGGACAGAAAAGAAGATATGAAAAAATGAGGCGGCCTGCCATATTCTTAAGCATTAAGATGCCACTTCTCTAGTTTAGCTTAACTAGTAAAGAATGTCTGCCTTGAGCATTGCGCTCTCTTAAGATCTATTGACGTGGGGTCAAATTGACAACAGCAACTCAAAAGACTAGATAGGAAACTTTGGGGACGGTGAGTTTATGTAAATGGGGGAGGAACAAATCAAAAAAGGAGGGTGAAAATGGTTGCACAACTCAAAAGAATGTAATCAGTGTCACTGAATTGTACATGTAGAAATTCTTGAATTGGTGTATGTTTTTCTGTATATATTCTTAACAACAGCAACAAAAATTAAATTATAAAA